TATTCTTCTTTTATTTTTGTCCCATAATCGATAATTATTTGACAATGCTTCATATCCCACAAACAATAACTTGTTGCTTTTTCGGTCCCACTTTTTGCGCAGCTGAGTTGGTATCGCCATGTAAGCTGCTCATCCAAATACCCTCAAAGTTTCAGGTTTTCTCCCTAGAAATGCTTCAAAAGCTGTAATTTTCTTTGTCTGATTCAATGTTGTTCTATTCAGTATATACATGGCAGTATTTATCGCTTCAGACCATAATTCTGTAGAAACATTTCCATTCAACATCATGGAGCGTGCCGATTCAACTATTGCTCTTATTTCCCTTTGAAGAACCGTTTTGTTGAGGTGAGTAGGGTGCCGATCTCTCATGCAATATTCCCTCTGTTTGTAGATATTTTTGAAAATTTTCATTGATATTTTCAGTCCCATTATCACTCTTAAAAACTTTAATTTTATTGGCAGTTTGATTTTCGATCAACGTTTTATATTCTTTAAAGCGCGCAAACACTTCACTCTTCTGCTTCAATCTTCATGACGTGTTTATGTGATTTTCGGGTTTGTTTTCCATATTGGCAGGTTTCACAGAAAACTTCGTCTTGATCAGAAAGTTCCAAATCACATACAGCGTTGTGTTTGTTTGCGTCTTTTATCGCCTTGAAATTAATATGTCCTAATCGAATTGGTTTTTGTTAGATTGCATTCTTTGGTGTTTACTTTTAGAAGCATATACCATAAGTTATCTTTTCTTTTTCCTATGCATGAAATGTTGCCAGCTTCATCAAGAAATCAGCATTAATTTTGATTTGCTTGATAAGTGAATTTCTTGTCGGTCATGGCTCCTACCGAAAAAAGGCTTCGTTTCGAATTGAAAATTTCGTCGAACTTTCAAGTCCAAACGTGCTTTAAACATTTGTGGGCATCGCACGAATACAGCGAATGCAAATGAATATTTGTCTTCATTCGTTCCGTTCGCGCGATGGCCACTAATGCGCGCTTATGCCTGTGTCTCATGCATCCGTTTATACGATGGTACGATGATACGAAAGTGTTTCTATTGGTTGGAGGTCTGTCAATTGGTACGACGGAGGACCAATAGAAACACTTTCGTATTTTTCTTTTTTCGCGTTTTCCTTAAGTTTTGCTTCAGCATGAGCGGCAAAATTGATACACGAAAAGTGTGTTAACCGGAAAAAATGCATCAAAAGGGTCAAAAATGTTGAT